TGTTTTAAACACTTTTCAAGATCTTCATTAAAGTAAATTAGTCTTTGGTGGGAAAAAAACAAACCCCAAATCTGTTTATCTGGATTAAGGCTAAATCAGCATTTAGTGCTGGCATTAAGAGAGCTCATTGCTTCAGTTTCATTCTAACCTGAGTTTTCATTGGGAATTTTACTGCTATAGAGAAAGTCATTGTATGCTTGAGCATCACCCATGTGCCATGCAAACCATCTAGAGGAACTGCTAGAGATTAAAAGATTTAAGAGCTGCATTTCCTGTGGTATGAATGTTCCTTTAATAAAATGAGAAATATATATATTCCAGAAACATTGCATTGTTTCAGGCTTTATTTTCATTACATTGGACTATAATATATATATATATATAATATATACCAAAAAAGCATACAGTAGCAAACTATGTTCCTAGATTAAGCTCACCCCTCTCCAGTAGTGTTTTAAATATACTGGAGTCTCACACGGTGCCCTAAGTCTTTAAGCTTCTGAGTGGTTGCCCTGGCTGTTGCGCAGTTGTTTGTATTCTAGATGATGAATCAGGTTCCTGCTTAGCAAATGCGTTCAGGCTTTACTCTCCACAGGCCAATACAATAAAAAAGTAACTGTGAATAATGTGTTTCTAGATTCTAAGCTATTGAAGGTCAAGGGGAAAACCTGAAACAAAAGACCTCATGTAACAAGCTGTTTGCTCCTTGGTTTCTTGGTTGAGCTCTCCCTACATTTTAAAGCGAGTTTCCAGCATCATATCAGGAGTGTTTCTATGTACTTATTCATCATCTGTTTTCTCTCTACATGGATTCTATTGCAACACATTGCTATGTTAATTAGACTTCTTTTGGTTTACCACCTGTCCTTGGGATAGGCCTAAGACATCCCTAGTATGTCATTTTGAAAAAGGCTAAAAGATAAGCTCAGTAATTTTAAGCCTTCTAATACTTACAGGTACATTCTCAACATTTTGGCCATCATGTCTTTTCTTTTTCTTGGGAGTGTGATGGCTGAAAGGTCTGGAATGTGTCTAACTAATCAATGGCTCAAAATGCTAGAGCTTATCCGAGAGCCTTGCTTACAGGTGTGCGCTCAGTGTTTGGAGCCTCTCAAAGACATCTTAATGTAGTTCTTCAAAATTACAGTTTAAACTGGCTGGTCCAGTGTTGCATATAGTGTCTGTTGCTTTCTGCCTAGGGTAAGAGGGAGAATGCTGTTCTATCTGTTCTTGTGTAAAAGCAGTATCGTGCTCTTGTGTAAGAATTCTCTTTCTAGTGTGAATCTGTAGCAAGAGGCAGAGGAGTCCTAAAGAGTCCACAGGTGTGCTAGCTGAGGTGCTGTTTCCTACCCTGGCAAGTGGTTGGTGCCAGTGTGTATAAAGGGCTTGGCTCCTGATTTTGCAGAAGGTACATTTATGCTAAGGTACAGGCACACACCTGTAATTAGGAATGAAGGTGTGAATGAATGGAAGTGACTGGTTGCACAAGGAACAGGACTTCCTTTTTAACGTATTCTCTTCACCATGTTTCAGGCATTGTTTTTTCTATGTCCATCTGAGCATCTCTGCTTTGTCCCATTGACCTTTTCACACAAAGTTTTGTGTTTTTTCTGTCTTATTTGCTGTCGTGTGTAATAACTGCTCTGTGGCTGTAGCTTTTTGGTCTAAGTGGAGAATCCTCTTTCCTTCAAAGGATCAGCAGTGTTGCACTAGCAGGGCTCTCCTTTCTCCCCTGCTCTTTCCTGTAATATTATCTGGTTTTGCAAGCATCAACTTTTTGCTGTCATATTTTCTCACAGTATTGAGGAGCCAGGAAAAGAAAGAAACCAACCAGGGGTTATTAATGAATCTGGAACACTTTGTCTTCTCAACTATCTGTTTTTTAATAGCTGCTTTTAATTTTAATAAGGATGCCTCCCCTGCAAGGGATGCAGTATTCATGTTTTCTTCTGACTACTCTGGAGCTTTAATTGCTGAACAGCATTGAACTCGTGTTTTACCAGTACTCTTCAGTCAACACAGGTGCCAGTAACATGCATGCGCAAACCAGAGTACTAGAACTGCTTTCACTTCACTCACGATAGCTATGTGCATTCAAACTGGTGTAAGCACTGATTTAGAGGGTTGATTACATATAGATGCATATCTGGTCCTAAATCAGTAGTGTGTTTCAGAATAAATGGCAGTGATCAGAAGCTTCCCTGTATCTTGCTTGGGTGATGGGGTGCTCCTGTCCAGGAACCCCAGGAGGGTGAGCTGAGCACCAGGGGCTCAGTCACTATTGGTGTGTATTTCCTAATTTGCCAGTGTAGTTTAGACTCGAGGTTGGGTTGTAAAAATTGCTCACACACCACTGTTTTAATGACTCTTTTCAAATACCTCACCTGAAGGTTGCTTTTAGGAAATCAAAGTCTTTCTGTTACGATAACATCTCTGGAATAATTCATATAGGAGCAATGTGGGTCATCTGTAATTCCCAGAACAGAGCAGATGCTATAACAGCTTGTGTTATCTCTAACCACCAGAAGCAAGGAGCCCTGTTTGGAAACCTTGCTGGATAGGGTAGTAGGAATAGAAGCCAACTGCTGCTAAGGTCAGCTCATGAGTTTCCTTAAGTACTTTTTCCCCTTTCACAAGCTTTTCTCTGAGCTATACCTACTAAGCTAAGTGTAGCAAATGCAAGATGAAATGTGAGGAGTAACATGGGAATAAAAAACAGAAAGAGCGTTTACAATGGTGGTAGTAATTGAGAGGACAAACTGTGCTTACTGTGCGTTTGAGGTTTTTCTTGCCTTTCCTGGCAGTTGTCATCTCCTGCAGGGTAAATCATGCATGTTCATAGAGCAAATGCATTCACAGTGTGGCTCCTATGGGAACTTCTGAATAGTCTAAGATTAGAGAAAGTCCACCTTAGTGTGGATGCTGCTGTTAATAAATATTGACTGACCATAAAGGAGATCAAAGCAGTCATGAAGTGCATTTAAGAATAAAATTATGTGGTTCTCTTTTTTTCTTTTTTTCTTCTTGGTGAAGAACAGTACTTTCTGCTGTGGGGGTCCTTATTGTCGCAGAATGTGTTCAATAGAATGGCAGAGATATAGTTGATCTTTTCCTCCCTGAATAGTCATAGGAATAAAGGGGAATTAACAACTGAAGTCAGCTCCGGAAGACAGGCCATTTGTTTTCATCATGGTCAAGATGGGGAGCTCTGCTGCAGGAAGCAGTAGTATGGACAACTTCAGGAGCTGGAGTTGGAAGGGAGCTGTAAGAATCACTTGTTCTTGCTTGCATCACCTCCCAGTGCAGCAGCAAAGTTCTGGTTTTGTAGGGCATTGAAGCTTACCAGTTGCTCCCCATGGAGGAGGGCAGGTGGTGGTGGTTCTTGAGTGACACTTGGATGTGAATTCTCCTGTTGTCAAAGCACCTTGAGGCCTTGCTGGTCAACAGTTTCCCTCTGTTTAGACTGTTAATCAACTAACTACATCCCTGTAGGCAAAGCCAACAAGAGTCAGGCCAATGGACTAGATGTGCAATATCTGAAATTTACCAAGTGGTTTAGGTTTAGTTGATTCGAATGCTTTCCTTGTCTGATGCTTGAAGGCAAGTTGTTTATCCAAGTGAAGTGCTTTAAGATACAGCAAGAAGCATTGACATAGCAGAGATCAATGAAGGATGAAGAGGCCTATTTAATCTAGGAAATGAGTGACTTGGCTCTTTGATCCTGTTGCATTCTTGTATTCCCAGAAGGTTAAATTTAGTCCTGCATACACAAATTCTGTTTGACTGAGTTTACTTGGGTTTTAAATAGTTGTGGGTTTCTTTTGTTTGGGTTCTCTTGTATAACAAGAAAAAACCCCCAAGTGTTACCACATAATTAGGCTGTTGCTGTGTAAGCATGTGTAGCTCTTTTTAGACTCGAGAGCAGAATATGCAAATCCAAACCCAAATGCATTTCTTCAAACATTCATATTGTGTAAAAGAAGAAAAAAACCCACACTCTCTGACCCATTGTACACAAACCAGCCTACGAAAGGGCCTGGGGAAATCGCTCACATTTGGATAAGCAAGAAATAAATCTAGTTTGGCTCATTTTGCCTGCAGTAATACCATTTTTCCACAAATACAGGACACCTGGTGCAGTGTAATGCAGAGGTGTGCATTTTGGTTTGAGATGCAAAGCCGTAAGGTAAGCCTTAAAACATGAGGATAGGACTAGTTTCTACAGTGATGAAAGATATTATCAGGAAAACCGTGTCTGCTTTAGTGTAAAACAAATGAAAATCAAAGTCGAGGGTTCCTTATTTACTGTTATTATTTACATTGATCTTAACCAGCCAACTACAGCAGATGCTGGCGTGAGATGAGCTCTGGCACTTCTTGCCCCTGTGAGTTCACTGTGCGTCGCCAACTACGGCTCTTAAAAGCGCAGGAGTTGAAATACGCGGTGTGACATCGAAAATGAAGCTGAAAAACCAGGCAGAGGAAGGACGTCCCATCAGGGAGGCAGCAGCGCAGCCGCTGCGCTCCTTCGCGCATCCCTCCTCCGCGGCCCTGCACACGGAGCTCGCTCCGGCGCGGCCGGTACTGCGGGTGCCGGTAGCGCTTGGGGTGACCGGGATGGCTCAGGGGGGTATCCCCTTTCCCCGAGCGGAGCTCCGCGCAGGGGCCGCCTCTGCCCGAGCAGCTCCGCAGGCGCGGTGCAGGTGCCGCGGTGCTCCTGCCGCTGTGTGGTGGAGAAAAAAGTACAGAAAGTTGTCAAACAACCAAAACCGGGACAATTCAACCCAAAGCGGCGCCGGCGGACACCGCGTCCCGGCGTCCCCGCAGGCCGCTGCCCGTGGGGCAGGAGCGGCCCCGCTGCCCCCCGCGGTGCCGCCGGGCAGGCCGGGGGCGGGGAGGCTGGGGCGCGGCGGCGGCGCCCGGCTGCCCCCATTGGCGGTGGCGGCGGGGCCGGGCCGGGCCCGGGCCGGGGCGGAGGGGGCCGGGCCTGCCCCCGCGGCCGGCGGCGGCCCGAGGTTTAAAGTGAGAACTTTCCGCGGGCGGTGCCGAGCCGCACAGCCGCCGCCGCGCTCTCCTGCCCCGCAGCAGCCGCGGCCGCCGCCTCCCCCGGGCGGGCCGTACAATCCTCGGCAGTGTCCTGAGACTGTACGCCCGCCTCGGGGGCGACCCGGCACAACCGGATCGCCGACCCCCGACCGCTCGCTCGCCTCCGCCGCCCGCGGAGCCCCCGAGTCCCGCGGGCAGGTGCTGAGCCCGCCCCGGCCCGAGAGGCGGCGCAGGAGTCGGCAGCCGCCGCGATGACAGCTGACAAGGAGAAGAAAAGGTGAGGGGGCCGCCGGAGAGGCTCCGGGCCGCTTCGTCTTCTTCCTCCTCCTCCTCCGCCGGCTCCCCCCTCCGCCCGCGGCAGGGCCGTCCTGGTCGGGGCTTTGCGAGGGCTCGAAGCCTTTGCGCGGACCAGCGGCAAGAGTTCGCCCAGCCCGGGCTGCGGCTGGAGGGGAGAGGAGCGGGGGAGCAGCGCCCTGTCCGGTCCTTGGGGCCGCCGGGCGGCACCGCGGGCAGCAGCGCCCTGCGAGGAAGCAGCCGCGGGTCCCGGCTGTGCCCGGTGGGCGGCGGGCAGGTGCGGGTCCGCCGCGCTGCAGAGTGGCTCTGGTGCGCGGTGTGGCAGGGCTTAGCCGCCTGGTATGTTAGGACCTTGTTGTTAGGAAAACATCTGTCCCTTGAGGACGGGGGTTTGACGGGTAGCACCCTTAGCAAAACGCGTTTCAGGGTTAAAACCTTATGGATGTAACTGCCCGCTTGTATAAACCCGTGCTGATTGCTATAAAACTGACACACTGGCACAGATCCTCGCTCCAGCCCAAGAAGCTGGAGGTCGCATCAGATGTGCGGCTCGCGGAGTTCCTCAAGTGCCGGCGAGCTTTCCTAGACGGCTGGCAGCTCGGGAGCGCAGGGCGCTGCGCCGTGCCAAGGCCTGCCGCCTGGCCGGGATGCAGCGCTGGGCATTGCCATGGGGGTCATAAGGAACTTTCCGAAGGGAGGAGAAGTGACTCGCTAGTTTTGTGTCGCTGCCTCAGTGCGTTTTCCTGTTGGTTCTTGGGATTGAACGTCAAAATAAAACTGAAGGATCCCTAACGCAGAAGTTACAGGTGGAGATTAATAAATCTCCAGTCGTGGCTTCAAGCCTGTAAGCATTTCCTGCAGATGAGCGAGGGCACTGGCACGGTGGAGGCTTAGCAAGCGAATAAAGGTCCACCAAGGCTCATAACAGGGTATTTGTTGTGTCTGTTTTATACAGCAGGCACTCACAAGGCTGAATCTATTATTGGCTCAGGTTGCCGGTCTGACTACAGATCGTGTTCATAAACGATGTGATTTACCGGCTAAGAATTTTATCTTGTTATTTGTCGTGTACTTTGCAGTTGATGGTGCACTAAACTTTAAACACTGTGTTTTGGTTTGTATAATAGCTTTTTTTTATTGAGTCACCCTATGACAGTGTAATGGGGGAAGTGTTGCAGTATAAACCATGCATTTTCCATGTAGTTCCCTCAGTTTATCAAGCACTAATGTGTTAAGGTTAAATAATTGCCTCAAGTATATTTTGTTCTAGGCATTCATCCTCTGTGCAGGCTATAGAATAGGGAAGAGGTTTGTGTCCTCTTATGTTGAACAAGGGAGTAAAAAATTATAGCACCGTATAATATAGTTATGAAAATGAATTATAGGAAGGAGAAGAACGAAATAGTGTGCATGTTTAAAAAAACACTGTTTGTGATATAGCCTTTTTTAACGGGGTGCTCTTAACCTCTTCACTTTTAACCTCTTATTTTCAAGCACAGTGAGGGGTTGGTTGAGTGCTGTCTAATCTTGCAGGACAACATGCTGGAGTACTTTGTGGAAATGCTCTTCTGTTGCAACATAGAAGCTTCACCGGGCTGGTTTGAACACTAATCCCGACCCTGTCACTGATTTTACATCAGTCTCGTGACAGTCTTGTGATGGTGTTCCCCTGACCGTTTTCTACCTCTTTGAGGAGCAGGGGAATGGTTATCTGGCTCTTGGGATTGTTGTGTAAATTAATGTTTGTGGAAGAACTGGGGGAGTAGCAGAGGGGGGATTTAAGATACCGTGCTTGTGTCTCCCTGTCTGTGAGCATATGTACGTCCCGAATGGGCACTTACCCTGTGTAGCTAGTGAAGCAGGGTTATTTATTTATGGGGTTTTAGATTTTCCAGTACTATTACAGGATAGATTTATTGCCTTGAGTTCACCAGTTGTCGTATTATTTGCTTGATCTTTATCCAGATACGCAGCTATGAAATCTAACCTGACTCACTAATAGCATTTATAAATCAATTTTGAGGAGAAAAGGTGGTGGGGGTAATCTGGTTTACCAGCTTTCCAGGCAGCTCTGGAACATATGTTTAGAGGAGCAGTTCTTTTACTGTTAAACAGATGCACTGTGGAAGTTAATATTTGATTCTTTTAATGGTCCATTTAAGTTGAGGAGCATCCTCAGGTTCTCATTTGAAGTGCTGTCAATAGAAAAGAGCAGTTGCCTTCTTTGGAACAAATGTTATAGCACTTTGGATAGGCTGTTTTCCCACATTTAAAGTCAGTGCAAGACACTGACCTGCGATTAATATGGTTATTTTAACTCTAAAAAAATCATTATCTGCACAGTGTTAGATACAAAGTCTGTTTCTTAGAGTGCTAATAAATAGAAACTGCAAAAAGCAGGAGTAAAAGGGTAAAACACGCTAGCAAAATAATAAAAGCTTAGGGAACAGTATCTGTGGTTAATGTGCAGTACAGCAGCTAGTGGATAGGTCCCAATTGGGGCAGGTTTGTAGAATATCTTGATGTGGTTTTGAATTATTTAGTCATCATGTGTTTTTGAGTTATTTGAGGGATGTAGTTATTTTGTTAGGAATGGATGGTGTGTCAAATGGACTGTTCTAGGTGGACAGTGTGTGTTTGAGAAGTCTGAAACCAGGCTCAGGACAAATCAGATACCACTGAATATGATTTACTGTTTGGCTTCACCTTTTCAGTTGTGGTGTTTGAGGATTCGTATGTTTGTTGCCCAGTTGTATGAAAAGCCAGATCTGCAGCTCAGGCAGGTTCTCTGCTAGTCCCCATATAATTATACCAGGTTTGACCCCAACGGTGTAATGCTATATGGGCTTGTTTAACTTCTCGTCCAGATAGAAACAAATGGGAGTCCCCCCAGTTGTTGACTAGCTAAATGACTGCTTTCAGTTACCCTTCACTTGGGGCTTTATTAGAAGTTGTGCCCCTCTGAGCAGATGCTCTGTGCCTCAGTTTCCACTCACCTCTACTTCAGGAGAGGGATCTGCCAAGCTGGGGTCACTCTTGTCAGCTCCTCCTCTGGGCGAGGAAACAGCCCTGATGGCACCGCTCTCCAGAGCTCAGAGTAGTCAGTTGCTCTCTCTTAATGGGTGCAATTTGGGTGCCTGGAAATGCAAGCATTTGGATGTGCCAAGGTGTTGAACTGCAGATTGCAGGAAACTCACTACAGGTCTGCGTTGTTCTACCCAGTGACATGTAAAGAATGTCACTATTGTCAGGTGTACTATCTTGTTCTGCGATAGTGGTGAATTACACGACCTTGTCCCTCCACTTGCCAATGTATGTTGTTCCTAATATTCTTGCAAGCCTCGCTTTATGTACTTCAAACCATGGAGCTTTGAATACTTTCCTTTGTGGACTATTGCAAAGGTTATTTGACTTCATAGAAAAATAGATCAAGTGTTGTTACTGCTGAGCATCTCCCCGCGCACAGCCCACATGTTTAATGTAATCCTATTTGCCTCTGTGTTAACATCTGCCCTTACAATTTTTCTTATTTGGAGTTGGCAAAAAGAAATGTAATCTCTTGAATTCATGTTGAAATTGATTGGTTAGCACACTGCTGTGGTACGGTAACATCAAGCAGCTTGGACTTGCATTTCAGCACCAAAAATGCAGGCGCTTCACAGCTTGCTGGGCTTCGTGAATGACTCTGGTCACTTCCTCCAGTCATACATTGGTTTTGCCCCTTCTGGGTTCTGCACTCACTGCCCTTTCTGTATTTCTGCAGATGTGGAAAGGGCTTTTGTAGATAGGCTACGTGAGTGCCTTGATGTTTCCCTTTCACTGCAATAGCACATAGCAGAGGTTGGGCTGAGCTCTGATTTGGTGTTCTGGCCTGCTTGGAACAGCTTGACTTCCATGGCTCAGCTGCTGTGGTTTCACCTCTGTGGAGCTAAAGCATTTGAGCTTAATTTGATCAGTGTGCAATACGAATGCTTTCTGCAAGTGCCATCCTCCCAAACTTACCTGAGCTTCTGAGGATTTGTGCTTTGCAGGGATGCTGCAAGGGCTGGATTGGCTCTGCTTTGTTTAGCACTTAGATTTTTAGCTGCTCTTGAGCTACCCCCCCTTAGTATACAGCACCTTTCTGTGTCATGTCCCTTTCACTTCTGATGTTGATCATCTCCTGTCATATTTATCCTCTGTGCTTCATTGGGAATATCTTGCATATCAGAGGTAGTCTGCAAATAGGAGTTTTGGGATTATGCTCCTAATTTAGGAGACGCATCACAAGTGTCAGAAATTGATATCTCTGCCTTCCTATAGTGTTGTTTGTTATGGTGGATTCGTAAACGTTAAGTATGTTTGTTTTCAGGTTCCAAGGAGGAGCTGCTGTTAGCTGTGGTAGAAACAGAACTTTTAGAGCATTGAACCTTTTCCCATTATTTTCAAATGGGATAGCCTTGTTAAAACTGAGAATTAGGGTAAGCATTAGGATAAGGGAATGAGCAATACAAAGGCAGGTTTTATTTACAAATAATAAATACATATAGAATGGTTTTAGTCCTCTAAAGCTATTTGTGAAATGCTATTCTGTTAACTACTCCAACATTGAGAATGTCTTGTATACCTTAGTAATTATGAATACCTTGGTGCCTATGTGCTGGCACAAGGTTGACAGAACCCTTCTCTTAAACTAAGGGGAAGAGCAAGTGTGGTTATAGTGCAGCTGGTGGGATTTTTTTCTCATGTATTGTTCTTGTGCTCCGTTTGCTTAAAAGGCAATACAATGAAGTAGTTATGTGCTGAGGATAAAATCTGGACTGCTTATATAAGAAAAAAGTAACTGTTTTCTTGAATTTACAAGGCTACCTTTAATGGATAATCTTTCTGAAGTATGTAAAAAGGGAAAGAGTCTTTTACTGTGTGCTTGGAAAGTAGATTAATGGAGTAGGCCAATTGGCTGATAAATAACTAATGTTCCAAAGTAACTCTCATTTAATCATG